GACGTCGCCGAGCCGTGAGTGTCCGGCGGGCCGCGTCGTAACTTGGGGATGGACTTGCACGGGTCTGGCCTTTCAGAGTCCTCCCGGCACCTTGTCTGAGGTATTCTAGTATCGGTTACCGCTTTGTAAGCGCGACTGTTTGCGCTTGATGTTGCAGAGGAAAGGAGCCTGTTCGTTACAGCAACCTGATGTACGACCCGAGAGTGGTGCGCGGCAACACTTACGCCCTTGAAGTCATACCTGTGGTAGGTTTTTTATACGGATCATGCTACAGCTTTGTTGAAAAGTAACAGGTAAGGCAGGAGAGCATTTCCCCATTAGTAATTTTGACTACTGAAGTAGTGATTTTACTTAAAATATTACACACAGCCCCAGGCTCTCCAGTTAAACTAGCATGTGACTGTGTTCAGCTTTTCCTTACAGCACTTAGTTTCACATGAACTTCTGTAGTTCTGATTTTTTTTTTCTGCATTAAGTACCTGATTATTTCCCCTTCACCCCCCATTTCTTTAGTGTAATGATCCTGAGCACAGGTCATCTCTGCATAATCTGTTGTCATATGCAAGGTGTCATCAGTGAGAATAACAGCTCTTGGGTAACTAAGTCTTGGGGTAGTCTTTGACTTATTCTACTATAGAAGCAAGTGGTCCAGCTGTTTGCAAAAGTTGCTTGTGTGAAAGTGAAAGTAATTTATGTCTCTTGATTCAGTAGCAAATGTTTTCGTGATGCTTTATTTTCAGAGAATAGTTCTACATAGATAATTTGATCATATAAGAATTTAAAGCAGTCTATTTTTAAAAGCTACTTTGTGGAAATAACTTTGTGTTTTTCAATAGCTGTCTCATAGAATGAATTTCACATATGTTCTGTTAAGAAGTTTGAAACTGGTGTTCATTTCAATCCATAAATGGACTACAGAATTTAAAAGTTAGTATGGGTTTCTTTTGCTTCATCAGCGATAAAGAACCTATAATTTTTGTCTAGAAAACAGATTTGTTGATAATATGATAACTGGATTTAAGTCCATTTGACCATCTTAAAGCTTTACCTAGAAACTCTCACTTGTCATCAAGAACATGATATTTTAATATACTTTATCTCACAATGCAAAGTTCTGTGTGCAATATCCACTTCCAAATAACAACTAATTGCTCTGAGCATGAAATGTTATTGATATGCTAGGCAGCTAGCATAGCTTATTAGTTTCATGCCCTACAGTCTTTAAAGTAACTGAAAACTCAGGGTCAGGACCCAGAAAAGTCAATCTGAAATGATAGATTTGTAGCATTAAAATCAAACCACCACTTTATTTTTTGTGTAGAGAGAAATTAGTATCATTTTAAAGTACAAAGTGTATTCTGTTTTGTGAGGCTTTTTATCTTCTTCATCCCTGGTCAGAGTACCACGCCCACTCCCTTTGAGATTCAAAGGCAAAAGGAAGCATGGAAAAGAGCACTGGCTAGAAAGCGTGCAAAAGAGCAAATGCGACCAGAAACACCCGAGCCTGTGGAAGGCAGAGAGCACGTTCAGGTGCAGACAGGTAAAAGGCTGATTTTATTTTTTTTAATTACTCTGAAAACACAAACTTGCTGTTCTATATTCACTTACTAAATCTGGTGATACAGTTGGTAGAGTCACACAGGGTTAAGGTTAGAATCGTAGAATAATAGAATTGGAGTTTCTCTAATAATTTCCATTATAACCCCTTATAACACCCTTATTTGGTTAAGTAGTAACATTTTTCCAGAGGCTCTGTTTTACAGTTTTCAGCATACATTCTTTTCTTGAACACTAGTCAAGACAGTTTCATTTATTCTTTCCTTTTCCAGTTTCATCAGAGAAGCTTGGTATATACTTAAAAATGGGCTCTCTGAAAATCATTTCAGATTGGACTGACTGACAAACTGGGAAAGCAGCTGTTACATGCTAAGTAGATATGGTCTTTGGTTTCTGAACATTCCCTCTGGCCCAGACCTGCTGAGCCTCTACGTCACCTCCAGTGCTCACAGTGGCTTTTTGCTATTCAAATACTGTTGGACGCAGAAGGAGGCTATCTAGTGCGGAAATCTTGGTCTCACGTCCTTCCCACTGACTAGTAGATAGGCAATAATTACCCCTTTTTGAAACTGCCCTATCCCCTTGACTCTACCAAGAATGTTTCTACAAGGTGGATTGAAATAGTCTAGACTCTGACTTTTGAAACCTACTATATGAAATGCCCTTTTAGGAATCGCCTCCAAGAAGAGCACCTGACATTACAGAGAGCATGGCATCAGCTGGTTTATGCAGCAGACTGATCTATTTTTTCATAGAATCATCAGTGACACCAATGGGGTCATGGCCCTTCAGGCATATGCACACCTCTAACTCTTCTTGCTATGTTTATTGGCATACAGACATTTCAGCTGGGCCCCCGGTGAAGGTGGCTTATTGGCTGGAGTGGCTGGAAGTCCTTTGTGCTGCTCTTCAGATGCTCCCTTACTGACCTGTGATCCCTCTCCAAGCTCTGAGCATCTCCTGCTGTCAAGAGTTTAAGTTGAGGTGTCTTTTTGTCTTGTTTTTCTTTCTTTTTTTTTTTGTAACTTCACAGAGGTCATTTTATTGCACTCTTTGAATATAATTCACACTGTAGAGTCATCAAAAATAGTTGAGAATTAAAATAAAAAGAATCCAACTTTCAGCATTCATTGTACTTTTGTTTCTAGAGCTGTATTTGGAAGAGATTAGTGACCGGATAATAGAGGTTGATGTAGAGTGTCAAACAGATGCATTTTTGGACAGACCACCCAGTCCGTTCTTTGTACCAGCCAAAACAGGAAAAGATGTGGCCACGCAATTAGCAGGAGAGGTATGGAGCAAAGTCAGGTCTGTAAGTGCTGTCAAAACATGTCTCCCATGCAAAACACACTTCTGCTGCAAAATTAGGGCAGAAACAGAAAGGAACTTATCCTCACTGATCATGCCAAAACCCAAAAAAACTCTCTGAAGTCTGCTGTGAGGTTAAGTGCACAATTAAGGAAGGTAATTCTCCATGTGCACTGGTTCTGCTGCTTGCAGATAAGAACTAGAGCTGAGAAATGCTCTCCGCTATAGCATGTGTCCAGCCTAAGAAGGGATTGACACAGAAACAGGGTCCAGGTAAGTGCTCTGCTTCTCCCTGGCAGCCCCACAGTGGCTGTGGTAGGGTGTGTGGTGTCTCACTCCAGCCCACTTAGCCCCCCAGCTGCATTCATGCTTCTTGCCTTAGCTGACACTGCTGCCCCCACTGCATTTCTCAGCCCTGCCTTCAGCACAGGGGCTTTGCGAGTGACTGTGATCAAGGGACATTTATCTCTGTTTCCCTGACTCCCATCCTTAGTTGTTTGACTTTGACCTTGAAGTCAAGCCGATCCTGGAAGTGCTGATTGGGAAAACAGTTGAGCAAGCTTTGCTGGAAGTCATGGAGGAGGAAGAGCTGGCCCAGCTGTGGGCACATCAGCGTGCCTATGCAGAGCTGCGCAACGCAGAGCTTGCTGAAGTACAGCGCCTGGAAGAGCAGGATAGGCGATACAGAGAGGAGAAGGTAGGACTTCCTAAAAGCAGAACAGGCTTGTCTAAATGCTTGTCAAAAGAGAGAAAACCATTTCCAGTACAGAAAGACAAGCTGTGAAGTAAAATGGTTGTGCCCTGAAGGGTACTGTCAAGTTTGATATTCCTCAAAGCATTTCTGTGGCATACAGCTGCACTCTGCCATTTGTTCTCATGCACCAGCACCATGCTATTGTGTTTATTTGGAGCAGCCATGCTCCAGTTACTCAGACACCCGATCAAGAGGCCAAACCCAACAGCACTTTTCTCTGTACCTGGTGCAGCTATTTCTAAAGCCTTTTCATTATAACTGCCAAGCATCAGAGTGCTTGAGACACCTCCTACTCTTTCATGCCCAACACATGCACTACTATATGTGCACACATACCTCTCAAGATCTCCAAGTATTAAGCTGTATTAGTCTTATCTAGTAAATAGGAATACAGGAATAATAATAAATAATAGGAAACAGGAAAGGCAACTCTTCCTTACTATTCATCAGCCTTGTATAATACTTTTTTGTAATGTTTTCCTGGACCAGTTTGAGTTTAATCTTATTTCGAATAGGATATAATATTGGAAAGATGAAAAGTTAAGGAGATCCTGACCCAATTTCATCTCATTTCAAAGCCGGTGATCAGCTTGATCTGCAGTAATAAAGCAAAGTGTCATGAGATCAATGGATACTAAGATATCGGAGAAGGGTTTCATTTGTCCAGTTGCAAGGCCCTTATTTTACAAACTTGTCAAAATCAGAAAAGGTTTACCAAAGGAACATGTTTCACTCTAGTCCCTGTGGATTATAGTACCCCAGAAATTGAGTATAAGCTTGCTTTCAAGCACTCTTTCATATGAGGTTTTGTGAAAGTTAGAGGCTTCAAATAGCAGGTAGAGACCGTAAGTATCTGTACTTCTGGTTATCTTTGCTATTTATGACTCTCGCACAATGATAATTCTTCAAATGGAGAAGATCAAAGGTGTAACAGCTAAAGGCCTGAAAATTTTACACATAATATTGCCTTGACAGGAACGTCGCAGACGCCAGCACATGCAAATGCTGAAGAAACAGAAAGAGACTGCAGAGAAAATTGCAGCTCAGGCATTCGCTAAGCATTACTTGGCTGATCTTATTCCCTCGGTCTTCAACAACCTTCATGAGGGTGGATTTTTTTATGACCCTATAGAAAGGGGTTTGTATTTTATTTTATTTTTCACACGTGAACTAAGTAGCGTAAGGGTCAAAACCACCATAGCTTATTCTCCTGTAATTTACAATAATGTCATAAAGCTTTATTGACATTTGTGGCTGAATGGGTAGTTTCCAAATTCATATTTTTTAACACAAACATTATTGGTCTTCTGTACAATAGTCAAGAATAAGCAGGAGCTGACAGTGTGATAATGAGAAGGACTGCTCTTGAACTGGAGAGAAATGGTCGTTAGGATTGGTAGAGCAGAGAGAGATCCAAACTGAAGTAAATGTGTTTTGATAGGACAGGCAAAGCAAGCCATATGTCGGTGAATCTTTTTTAATGATTATCAGAGCAAGGGCGACGTTAGTTAGAAGTGGGCCTTGAAAATATTTTTTGAGTTGTAAATCAGTTACTTCCAAGCTTTTAGAATCAGCAACATTTCTTGTGGGCTACCTTGCTGTACCTCTCTTCCCCAGGCCCTGCACAGACCACAGCTTGGGAATGGTTACACTCTCTCCAGAATGAGCCTTGGGGTAAACACAGAAACTGAGTGTATTTTGCAAACAGGACAGGCTCTGGGACCATGGCATACAAATGATTTGAGAATTTTACATGGGTAAACGAGAGCTCTTTAGTCAGAGGGAACAAATGCTTTCAGCAGATCAGAAGCCAGGCGTCTTTGGCAAGCAACGCAGGAAATATTATTCTTCTGACTTGTTCAGGATAGTTATTTTCATCTCACTAGAGCATTACTGTGTATCTCATCTGTGCTTGCCCTTCAAGGGTGCCAGACCTCTTTAAAAATCACTACAGCTCAGAGGACTTTGCTCTGTGTAAGAGAGGCAGGAGATAAGAAACCCAACAACACCTGAGAGATTTCTTCTAGCTCTTACAAAGCAAGTGTCTTTTGGCAAGGATGTTCATCCCTTGGTCGTAGCAAATGGAAAACAGCCCCAAGATTCTGTTGCTCATCTTTAACTACAAGACATTTTTCTTTCTTTCTTCCTGCTAAACTCTTGCAGATATTGAGACAGAATTCCTTCCGTGGCTGATGACAGAAGTAGAAGAAGAACTAGAGGGGAAGGTTCTGGCAAGGATGATGCTTGACTGTAAGTTACCAAATCCTGGAATGTAATCTGGGCTACTTAATGTTCTTGATTGTTCTGACTGTGGAAAAAACAAGTATTATGTTTACAAGGTCATGGTGGGTTAAAGTAGGAGGTGTCATTTTAGCAAGTACCCGTGTTTTTTTGTGTCATGGTTGGTTGTGGGGTTTTTACTATACTAAAACATTTTTAATGTTGGAAACCTACTCCTATATGCATCTAGGTAATTGATTCTCAGATTAAATAATAGAAGCGTCAGTCATTCTGCATTGTCCTCTCTGCTGGCTTTACACTGTCTGAGATGTGTTGATGCTGGCAGATACAGTACATTTGGCAGGAGCAAAATGGTCAAAGAACACCAGTTCTTCTCTATAAAATTGTTATTTCTCACATGTTACACAGCCACCACTGCTGTGCTGTTCTCTCTAGTGTGCCTGATTGTGCCAGTGGGAACAGCAAAGCCCATCCTGTCTACAGCCACGTGTATACCATGAAAGTCTCTTAACTTGTTTGTGTAAGCTCCCTGGGCTATGGAGTAATATGTTCATCCTGTGTGAAAGGAGAAGGATAATTGTAGGCCATGGTTGACAGAAGTCAATAATCATGTCCTTGCTTTTGAGATAGATTAAAATATCATCCGTCTTTTGGTGTAGCTCAAGCTTAGTATTCAGATTCTTTTATTAATCAGTCTTCAGAGGCTGCAGTTGAAACACCCAAACAGTCTAAACTCTGTCTTGTGCAGAAACACATCATTATGACGAACGTATGTCCACCGTGGTGGTCCTAGATCAAACCACTTTTTATACTTGAATTGCATCATCGTTCCTATAGTTTTCCTCACGCTGTGATAGTGGGGTTTGTTTCCTTCAGGTTTATTTTCTGTTTTTAGGGTATAATTTGGATTAATACAACTGGTCTGTTAGGTATTTTATCCTATGATGTATATGCTGGTATGTACACTTAAGGATCACTTCTTCACCTAGCTCTTTGGTGGGGAGGAAATTTTCTCTTGTCTTAAGTAAGAAGTATTTTATATAACTACCAAATAAACATCTCAAGAAGAATGTTGCTGCAGGATACACTAATGATGAGAACATCTATCATATTCCTGTTAAATCTTTCTGTTTAATTTTTAATCAGATACCATGGTCTTGCACCAGTTCTAAGATACAGAGCACCTGGAACAGACTAATAAGTAATATCAGCCATCCCTGTTTTGCTATTTATCCTCTGTATTTTCTGGCTTATACCCAGTCACCCATTGTTGAGTAAACATCACCTCTGCAAAAGGAATCATAAATTGCATTCTCCAAGTTTTGTAGAGGCAGACACATCCTCAGCTGAGATAGTTCATGGCTTCTATGCAGAAGCATAGGAAAAGTCTCGAAGGATTACATTTAAACCCAATTGAATGAAGAAGTCACTTTGCTACTTAAAGGATTTATTTTGTCACTGTCCAGTAAAAGAGCTATGAACTCCAAAGGAAGCACCCTCAGTGGAAGGCAGCTATGTTGTTAGTCATCTTAGAGATGACTGTTCCTTCTTTTACTTGCTAAAGTCAACCCATGAATCAACAATTAAGCTCTTTCAGTATCTGTCCTATTTTCTGTGTTAAACCTCTCCTCTTTCACTGTTGGCCTCTATTTTTTATATTCAAAACTATAGGTATCAAAGCGCTGATTTCTTTTCTTTTTTTTTTTTTTTTTTGGTTGGTGTACCCATTGAGAAGAGGTATGATGTTTAGAGAAATTTACAAAGCCTTGGCAGCAAAACCAATAAAGAATAGGTGTTTTACAGCTACTTTTCAGAAAGAGAAAATTTTTCAATGACTCCCATAGTTCCAGTATTTCCCACTGCCAAAACCATCATGCTGCGTACAACTTGGCTAGTCCTTGTTCCTGGTGGGCTGACATGCTCTGGAAGAGATGAGCAACTCTGAGGAAATGAGCAAAACAATCCGGGCAACCCTTCCAAATCACCATTTTCACTGTAAACCACTCATTTGGCTGCAACTAAGCTACAGTAGCAGGGATGGTTGTTCTAATTCAATATTCTTTCATTTTTAGTGTTATTTCATTTTTTCCCCTGTTTAAGAAGTTGTAGCTCAGTAATATATAAAATAATCTCAAATTACATTTTTATTCCCCTCCATGTTTGTTGGTGTCTTTTTCTATTTCAGCCTTGATTCGTACAGTTGTTGAAAACCGCTTAGAAGCATTTAGCCGTAAACCTCCGTCTGATCAGCCAGAGGCACCTGCTGAAGAGCCCCAGCCACCAGGAGAGCCCCAGCCACCAGAAGAGCCCCAGCCAACAGAAGAGCCCGAGCCACTGGAAGAGCCCCAGCCAACAGAAGAGCCTGAGCCACTGGAAGAGCCTAAGCCAGCAGCTGCAGAACCCCAGATGGCTGGTGAGACAGATGCTGCTGACCAACCAGTCACAGAGAAAGAGGAGACCGACCAACCTGTTTTTGAGCAACGATCTTCACAGCGTATGTCTTTCCAGTTAGAATTGGAATAAGCAAGCACAGAAGACTTGGAAACTGATAACAAATAGGCAAGTCATCAAGTAAATGGAGATTAATATCTTAGAAGAAATGAATTCTTATTGATTTACAAGTATTGTGCCCTAGCCATGCTGAAGGATGAGGATTAAAGCAAGTTTTCCATAGGCTGACATTTCTGATTTCAGACTGTAAGAACCACCAGGGAGACTACTAAGCAATAAATGTCAGTGACATTCTATCCCTTTCTACACAATACAATCCATCAAATAACTGGGACATTTACAGTTGAGAAGTAATGACCTTGTGCCAGAAGGTCATGAGGAGGACATAGAAAGCATCCTAGTTACCTTTGCAAATGCTTTGATAACATTCTGAGAACACAGTTTCCATACTTTCCCTGTTTTGAAAAGTAGCTTCTACAGCACTTAAATTTCTTTTCACTCATGTTAGTATCTCCTTTCCTGGCAAACTTGGATGGGAATCTCAGCATGTAATAGAGCAAAAGCTGCTGTTCCTGAAGCTCTTAAGGTTCAGAGTTGTCTGCCACTGGGAATTTCTGCCAGTGCAAAATCCTCCTCAGCTTCCTGACTCCCAGAGCATTGGTGGGGGGCTGGAGCCACACACACAGTTTTCTTTGTAATCATCCTTTCCTGCTGGTTCACTGAAAGGGTATCATCCATGACAGACAAAATGCACCTGCACTGCCATGTGTATTTGTTCATAAGCCAACTCCTGAAGTGGGGCATTTCCCCTCATAAAATTACATCTGTGCTCCATTGCAGCAACACTGTTTCCTTGATAATAGCTGTGGCTGTGGCAAAAGTCCTGCCTTGTCCAGACTGCTTTGTGCTACCTCTTCTCTGCAGGTCAGAGATGTTTGCTAACCCAGCAGGCCACATTCCAGTCTGAGAGTGGAATGTCAAGCATGACACCTGAAGAGACAAGGACCTGTTTCACATCTCATACTCTCAAAAGGGACATCCAGACTTTTGCTGGATCACTTATACATGTGGCTTCAAAGGCAGACCCTGCTTTACCTCCATCCTGGGCTAAGACATCCACTGATAACGAGGGCAGCTGTTGCTTACACAAAAAGGTTTCCTTGGAAGGTGTCAGGTATTGGCCTCTCTCTGTAGGCAGCTGAAAACCAGAAGTAATGAAATGTAAGCACCAACAAATACTCAGGGGGTTGATGTGATATGAATATGTTAAAACTGAGTCTGGAGTTGCATAGTACAGGTTGTAGACACACCCAAGGATGCTTTTCAAAGCTGGAATATTCCCATGTAAACTGTTCCTCTGTTTGCTAAGTTGACAGTGTTTCAACAGGGTTTTTTTTTCCATTTATGATTGATTCCTCAAAGCATCCAGCAAAATGTGTTATGTGTATGGCATTAAAGTAGTTGGGGCTCACTACATCTATCTGTAAGTTTCTAAGAAGAATTTATTTTTATGCACATGACTAGAATTGAAGGCTTGAAATGAAACTGGTTTAGGCATTGAAGTCAGTGGTAAGTTTACCTCAGTTTCAGTAGGACCCAGATTTTGCATTGCTTTTTTTCCCATGATGATGGAGACTCCTGTCTTGACTTCATATAAATCAGGTAATTGACATCAGGCTAATTTTATCTAAAGAAATAAAAAGCCTTTGCAGTATGACTATGACAGTTGTAAATGTTACAGCTCATTTTTGGAACACTATGTCAGCTTGAAGGATTCCTTATTACTGAATGTTTGTTTTGTCGTGTATTAACAGGAGACTTAGCCTAACCTAGAGGACTGCTGTGGATCATTCCTGAAAAGATACAAACAAATGCCGGGTTGAATATTTGGGTTTGGAACGTTCCAAGAGGAACCTGGAATATTTTCTTTTTTGTCACTCCTGTTTTGTGCTTGATTGCTGGAAAATTTACTTGAAGTGTTGAATTATTTTATTTAAACAGGCTGTGGCACTAACATGTATTCTTAAATTATTACAAAAAAATAATTAATTGTATGTCCCACATTTTTACTTCATTAGAATGAATAGATACTACTCAAGCATTGGGTATTGTGGTAGAGTTCCTATAACAAGTTATGTTTTTATGGGGCCATAAAGCCATGAAGCTGCACTAGCAGTTTTCGATTAATGGCCCTGTGCTTGAATTCAGTCTCCAGTGAGTGCAGGTTAGCAGGGAAGGGGACCCCTTGCATCCTGCCAGTCACCGGAGAAGCTGAAAACCATGATCAACAGTAAGGAGGGGAAGAGGGATTTGGGGTAATGATGTAGCTGTTACCTGTTTGGGGTGATGCCAGCAGACAGGCAGGCTGTGCAGCGCAGGCCTTGCTGCTGGCAGGGTGGCTGGGGGACCCACCCCAGCAAGCCCAAGTGTGAGCACCACATCTGTCACACCACCTCCCCACAGGGACCCCTCCCGACGCCTTCCCCTCCAAACCCCCGTTCTCTGGTCAGTGTCCCAGGCAGCAGGTGAGGCCGCGGGGAGGCCAGCTCTGCACTCAGGGTGGCCCGGCAGCTGCTGCCGGTGCGTGCAAGGGGGGAGCGGAGAGGGGACCGAGGAGACGGCACTGCAGGCACTAGAGGGCAGGACAGACCACAGCAATCCGGCTGCAGAAACGTAAAGACACTGAAGTCACATATTGCACGTTGCACACCCTGCACTAGTGACACTCGGCTGGACTGCCCTCCTATGCTAAACCACAAAGCCTTTTGCACAGACTCGTCGTACTTTTAACGTGAGGAGCCAACGCTTAGGGTCACCCAACACGGTCTGCAGTAAGATCTAGAATCACAGAGTGGCTTGGAAGGGACCTTTAAGCTCATGTAGTTCCAACCCTCTTGCCATGGGCAATTCCATGCTCAAAGCTCTACTCTATCTGGCCTTGAACACTTCCAGGGATGGGACATCCACAACCTCTCTGAGCACTGTGGGCTTCAGGGCTTGCTAACTGCAGCTGCTGAGTTTTTCACACCATGTCTCAGCCATGGACTGAACCACTTCAAAAAGTTCAGCAGAGGTGTTTCAGCCTGTCCTTTGAATGAGGCTGGAGGAAAAATGCATTTCCCTGCCTATATTCAACCATCTCTGCAGATGATAAGCAACTTGTAACACGGCTGTGTTCTGGGCCCAGGATGTAGGCTTCTGGGTGCTTTCTCCCAGAGCCATTAGGGAGCAGACGAAAAGTTCATTTTGTCATTGAACTATGTCCAAAGGACCACCTGTTGCGTGGAGAAGTAGAGCCTGTACCTCTTCTAGTCAGGCCCAGGCTGGGTATCTGTCAGCAAAGGCCTTAAACCACAGCATGTGTGCACAGTGAGGCTTCCTATCTTTGTGTGCTTTATCCAAAGCAGCTGGTTACATGACTGTATCCATATGTTTCCATCTATTGATTTCTCTGCAAAAAGCCAGAGCATTACTCCAACAACCAGCTCAGCAGTTTAGCCCCATATTTAGTTCAATACCCACCTGAGAAGTGGGAAAGACACTGGGACGTACTGCCTGGCCCTGATTCAGTTTGGGAAACCTCTTGATATTGGTACACCAAACCAAACTCTCCACATTTCTCCATTGCACACCGACAGAGTGGGAGCATTTTGGTCAGTGTAGAATTCATGGCTGGTTTGCTGCTGGCAGAAATTGCAGCATTTGAAGAGCTGTGGAGGGAACGAATAAAAAGAATATACCTATGAAAGTGCTTGCTTGTGTATACACATGTTAAACATCAACCTCACCTTACCCAAGGCTAAGGCCTTGGGAGTCCACAGAAGCTGTACTTAACAACAGCAGTGTACAGCAACAGCCCCATGATGTTGCTGTACAGGGAGATTCCTGTCCTGCCTTCCTGCAGGAGACATCTTTAGACCAGTGTAACGGCATCTATCCTAGTGAAATAGTGGAACTAATTCAGTGTGTTTTCTCACTGCCACCGTGTCCTTATTGGTACAAACCAGAAGCTGGATGTGACCTCGAGTGCACTTCAGCAGCCTAGCAGTAACACCATAGTTACAAACTGCCTTTGGTCACCTCAGTCCTCTTCAGCCCCTCTGCAGATGTTTGGTGCTCTCAAATTGCCGAAGCCTTAGCTCATAACATACAATGATGTTAGTACGCGTATACTGCCACTGGCAGTTTAGGTTAATAAATCTGACAGTGAACCAGCATCTGCAGCAGTGGCACATCCCATGCCTCTGACTGCTGTGGGGTTCATGATTTCTGGCAAAAAGTCTGGCGGAGAGATGGCTGGTGCAGTAGGGCTTGAAACTGCCCCAGTAAGGTCATTTTACCTATCAGAATCCTAGCTGGATCTGGTGGCCACTGCTGAGATCACATGTACTGTTGAAAATGATCTAACAGTGCAATGTGACTTAATGGGAATGGTAATTCAACCATGCTTGGGCAATTTAAATTATACCTACTTTAAATATAGCTTTTTTTTGAAAGATTACCATGTTGGAAAATACTCACAATTATGATGGGTTACAGAGTACATCTAGATTATTTCATGGGCAAATACCTGCAGGCCAACCGTCACCATCAATTAATGGTAATGAATTGATCAAATAGATTTGTTTCAAACAGAGTTGACATAACACTCAAGTTATCTACAGTTCCCAAAACCACAGCACACTCTGATCACAGGAAGGTCTAAGCAGGGTGGAAGAGGTCCCTGGATCCCTGGTCATCTGGTCCAACCTTCTCTAAAAGCAGGGCCCTAGATTAGGCTGGGCTTTGACTGGCTAGGGCGTAGTGCTGTTGAAACAGGAGCAGGGGGCTGGGGTCCTGACAGCTGAGCAGCAACAGCCCTGCAGCCGTGAAGGCAAACCATGTCCAGGCTGTGCCAGCAGGAGCAGAATCAACAGATAGCAGGAAGCCATAATCCCACTCTGTCTGGCACTTGTTGGTCCACAGCTGGAGGACTGAACTGAACTGTGGTCTTTGTCAGTTTAGAAGAGGCACTGGAAAATTGGAGCGGTCCCTTGGAGGTCCACGGAGATGGTTAAATGAGGAGAACTTGC